CAATATCATGCATTTAGTGATAAGGATAGATTTTAAGTTACTATATAAGCAGTTCATTTTTAAAAATAAATTTAGTGTCTTACAAACATTCAATGCGTATTAAACTTTTACTACGGGGTAATTTTTTAATATTTTTGGTCCTTCGAGTTTTTTTGTATCCACCACCAGTGGTAAGATACTTAAGGTATTAGAATCAGTGAATAAGCGTATCTGTAGCTTAGACAACAGACAAGTGTTTAAATTTGTGAAAAAGCGTATCTGTGGCTTAGACAACAGGCAAGTGTTTAAATTTGTGAAAAGCGTATCTGTGGCTTAAACAACAGATTATATATTTATAGCTGCTACTTCGAGTTTGATAAAATCCGTCGAATTTATTATGCGTGCCTGTGGCTTGAACAGCAGGTTAAAATATTAAACGGTTATATCGGACGCGTTTATAAAAAAAAAACGGTTAAAATGCCTATATCCAGAAGTGCCGCTGAAAAGCAGTTTGATCGGCTCAAAGATATAGCATATACGTTACAAATAAAAGAGAAGGAAGTTGACGTCCAGGAGATGTCGTCAAAAGACATTAAGAAAAACAAAAAATGGTTAAAAGATACATGGCATTTATACGCAGAGACATTTGAATCTGTATGCGAAACATCTTATAAGGAAAATTCTCAATTTAAAGAAACAGATAAAGTTGCTTCAGAAGCATACAAGAAGATGCAAAAAATATTAGATGATTTTGAACAGCTTGCAAAGCAAGAAATGTCTTCACCTACAGAGTTAGTAGAGGAAACGGAAGATAAAAATGCAGAAAGCACATATGCAGATACGCCAACTTCTGTGGATGGAAAGGCAGGTAATATAGATTCGGGCAGAAAAACAAAACAACAGTCTCCAGGCAATGAAAGTGTAATTATACTGAATCGCAAAGAGTCAAATGAAAAACCTAAAAAGATTATAATGCGTTTTCAACAAAGAATTGGTTTGTTGAAAGAAAAAATAAGAAACATTAAGGGAAAACTGCCGGAAGCAACTAAAGGGTTGCTTGATACGAACCGAGCCAATATTGAAGCTCAGTTTAAAGACATCACAGTATTATACAACAAAATTTGCGATGAAGATTATGATGACGAAGAGATAGAAGGAACCTTCATACTGATGCGAGCCAGTTATGAAGAAATCTTAGAAGAAATTGCGATAAAATATGACGAGAATATAGCGACTGAACACTGCAATCCAACTCGTTTAGAAGACTTAAGACTGCCAAATTTTAATGGAACTGTAGACAATTGGAACTCTTTCCAAGAAATATTCTCAAAACTTGTAGATGATAACAAGATGCTATCTAATGTTGAGAAATTTTATCGACTGAAAAACGCCATAAAAGGGGATGCTGCACGGCTAATTCAACATCTTCAAGTAACAGGAGAAAACTACAATGCAGCATGGACAATATTAGAGCATAGGTATAATAACAGAAGGCTATTGTTTTGTACGCTATTTGATAGAATCATTGATCATAGCAGCGTTAATATACAAAATGCTGCAAGTATTAAATAGTTGCTGGATACTGCAACAGAATCATATCAAGCTATAAAAGCTATGGGAATACCAATTGAGGATGCAGATCCATTTATAGCAAGAATTCTCATACGAAAACTGGATAAAGAAGGTTTGCTGAGGTATGAACAATGCGTTCAAAAAACAAAAGAAATTCAAACAGTAAAAGATGTTATGACATTTTTAGAGCAACAATATTTAGCTCTCGAATCGGTTGGCTGCAAAAAAGGAAATATTACAGACAAAAAAATAAAATCGACAAATGTGTTTCAAATTTCACAAAAACAATGTATGTTTTGTAACACAGTAGGTCACTCTGTTATTGAATGTCGGAAGTTTACTCAGCTATCGGTTAGTGATAAAAACTCCTGGATTAATAAAACAAAGTTATGTAAAATATGTTTTGCACACAAAAATGACAAGAAATGCTATAAGTTGGATAAAAAGTGTGAGCAATGTGGAGGACCGCATCACAGTATGCTACACTTTCAGAGAATTGTGCAAAATAAACCACAAACTAGTGCTGGTGCAGCTGCAAGCATGATTACCAAAGAAAATAGTGCAATCACTTTATTAGCAACAGCACAGATTCAAGCGGATTCTGCAAGTGGTGAAAAGGTTTTGTTAAGAGCGCTGCTAGATCAAGGTTCACAGAGGACATCAATTTCAGAGGAAGCAGCACAAATATTAAGGTTACATAGAACTAAATCAAGAACGGATCTGATTGGATTAGGAAATACATTAGTAGGAATATCAAAATCAACAGTAGAACTCGTAATTCGTCCAAGATTTAAAAGCAATAACAGTTACAAAATTAAAGCTATGGTTCTTAGCAAGCTAACATCAGCACAACCTAATAATTCGTTTAATGAAGATTTAAAAAAATGGGATAATTATTGTTTAGCTGATCCTATGTTTAATAAATCTGACCGGATAGATATAGTGCTGGGAGCAGATATCCTTACCGAGATATTGCAGCCGGGTTTGAGAAAATGGGGTAAAATCTTAGGTCAAGAAACTTCCCTTGGTTGGATATTATCTGGAGTTATCAACACAAACAATACAGTCAAAACTATAATATCAGCAGTTACTTCAAACATTGAGAGATTTTGGGAAATTGAAGAAGTTTGTGAAGCATCTGAAATAAATGAAACTGATAAAGAATGTGAAAATTGGTTTAAATCAACAACAACGCTAAATAAGGAAAACAGATTTATCGTAAAATTACCATTTAAAAAAGAAAACGAACTAGGAGACTCTAGGAAAATGGCTATGGCCAGGCTTTTGTGTTTGGAAAAAAGATTTAAAAGAAACTCTAAGCTAAAAAAAGAATATATCAAGTTCATGAAGGAATATATGGAAATGGGTCACATGCAGAAAGTTTCTTAAATGATATTTGGTAAATTTTATATGCCTCATCAAGCTGTAATAAGAGATGACCACTCAACAACAAAAGTTCGGGTAGTATTTGATGCTTCAGCAAAAACTACTAACGGAAAAAGCTTGAATGAAATACTACACACTGGACCTAAGCTACAGTTGGACATATTTCAGCTACTAATCAAGTGGAGATTGTGGAAGTACGTTATGACAGCTGATATAGAAAAAATGTATCGGCAGGTGTTGGTAGCAGAAGAAGATCAGCCGTACCAAACTATCCTATGGCGTGAAGATCCAGAAAAACCAATAGAAGAATTTGTACTGAAAACAGTAACCTACGGAACTTCTTGTGCACCGTTCTTGGCAAAAAGAGCTCTACTAGAAGTTGCTTATGATTGTGCAGATAAAAACTCAAAGTTATATCAGATAATAAAAAATGATTTCTATATGGACGATTTGATGACAGGTGCGGACTCCATAAAGGAATGTATAAACATTCAATTTGAAATCAGTCGGCAGCTAGAAAAGTTTGGATTTCATTTGCGAAAATGGATGGCAAACGAAAAGCGAATTTTAGGTGAAATTTCGGACTCTGGAGACAGTTATATTATTAAAGTAGAAGACGGAGAAGCTGTTAAGACGCTCGGTATACAATGGGTGCCGAAATCAGACAATTTCACCTTTTACATCGAGTCAGTAGATAGTACTAACATAACTAAACGCAAGGCACTGTCTATATTGGCTCGAATCTATGATCCACTTGGATGGTTGACACCAACAACAACAATGGCGAAATTATTTATACAAAAATTATGGCTTATGAACTTGACGTGGGATACGAAGTTAGACGTTAAATTATCTCACGAATGGAATGCGATTGTTTCAAGGATTTCGACTATTAAGGATATAAGAATTCCTAGATGGATATCAACTTTAGCTGAAACAAGTTTAGAGCTTCATGGATTTGCGGACGCTTCAGAGAAGGCTTATGCAGCAGTAGTTTATGCTAAAACTTCTAATGCTATTACTATTCTAGCAGCAAAGTCTAAAGTAAATCCGATAAAAAACAAAAAGACATTACCCAAGCTTGAGTTATGTGGAGCTCATCTGTTAGGAAAACTTATGAAAAGCATTAAAGAAGTTATAAACAGAGAAGTCAAAATATATGCTTGGAGCGATTCAACAATAGCATTATCATGGATCAAGAACGAAAATAAAACTAAAGATAAATTTATTGGGACTCGTGTAAGAGAAATCAAGCAATGCATGCCTTCGGCAACGTGGAATCATGTTAGGTCAGAAGATAATCCAGCGGATGTGGCTTCAAGGGGCTTGAAACCAGAAAAACTTGCAGCACATAGATTATGGTGGAATGGTCCTACATGGTTAAAAGATGAATCAAACTGGCCAACAGCAACTGAATCTGTTCTTTGTGCAACAAATAATATAAACTCTTCACAGAATATAATCAACGATATAATAGAACGGTATTCCAATTATAGGAAATTATTATACGTCATTGCATATATAAGCAGATTCATCAGAAAGCTAAAAAAGGAGAAGTTTCCTGTGTGGTTGACAGTAGAAGAATTAAGGGAGGCAGAAAATATTATAATACGGCATACTCAACATTTATATTTCACAAAAGAAATCAACTTGATCAAAAACAGAAGAGAACTTCCATCTGGTTATAAAATTTGTAGTCTTTACCCGTTTCTGGATAAAAATGAAATACTGCGAGTCAGAGGCCGGTTAGAAAATTCTCCATTCTCTTTTGCTAGAAAACATCCAATACTATTACCAAAATGTCACTTAACGATGCTAATAGTTGATGATTATCATAAAACTACACTACATGGCGGTATAAAACTAATGGAAAATATGCTGAGGCGGCAATATTGGATAATTAATGCTAGAAATATTATTAAAAGGTATGTTCGAAGTTGTGTTAGATGTATACGATATAGGCGTGAAACCGCTACACAGTTAATGGGGAACCTACCGGAAAGCAGAGTGTCAATATCGAAGCCATTTGAGCATGCAGGAATAGATTATGCAGAACCGTACAAATGAGAGTATCGAAAGGAAGAGGTCAGAAATCATATAAAGGTTATATAGCCGTTTTTATTTGTATGGCTACGAAAGCAATCCATTTAGAAGCTGTAAGTGACCTGTCAACAGACGCGTTTCTGGCTGCCCTTAGAAGATTTTTCGGTAGAAGAGGCAAAAGTTCGCATTTATATTCAGATAATGGTACAAATTTTGTCGGTGCTGCTAAGAAAATAGATGATGAATATGAAAAAGCTATTAGAAAACTTTCATCACTTGCTGGAACGATGGCAGCGGAAAAAATTACATGGCATTTTATTCCCCCGGGAGGTCCTCACTTTGGAGGAATCTGGGAGGCTGCAGTCAAGTCGATGAAACATCATTTAAGACGAGTCATTGGTGAAGTGAAATTAACTTATGAAGAAATGTCGACACTGTTAATTCAAGTGGAAGCAGTGTTAAATTCTAGACCGTTATGTGAAGTACGAGATGATACAGAGAATACTGATGTTTTAACTCCCTGCCATTTCCTAGTTGGAAGACCTTTAATTGATATTCCAGAGGAAAGTTGTTCAAAATCAATTGATTCTCTTAATCGGTGGAAAATAATTCAGAAAATAAAAAGTGATTTCTGGAATAAATGGAAAAATGAATATCTTGCAAGTCTTCAACATCGTCGCAAGTGGAAGCATTCTGCCCCAAATATAGAAAAAGATCAGGTAGTTCTTATCAAAGATGAAAACACATCACCAGCTAGAT